TTCAGGCGCCTCACATGGCTAAGGATCACCACCATCCTTTCATACAGCTCATGGGAGTAGTTCTTCAGCTGCTGCTTTTGGCACAACTCATACTTGATGGCCAAGTTAGCCAAGGTCTTCTCAGTTTCCACCTGTAGCAGCCTTCCTTGTGGGTTCCTGGGTTGTGTGCTGCAAGCAAACCCATTTTCACAGCAACTAGATGCTAGAACCATAAAATGCAATAAACTTGTATCAAGTACTGTAAGGCAGGTGTCACTTCCAAAATGGTCCGCACCAAAGGTTCCAGAGCCACCACAGCCCTCCCCCTCACTGCAAAAGTTGCAGGCATAGACTTGTAGGGGCCAAAGTCGAAACAGTGCTCCACCCCTGTGTGCCTGATGTAGGCCCCCAGTTTGTCTTCAAGGTCTCCTGAGTCATACTTCTTCACAGCACCCTTGATGGTTGCCTTCCTTGAAGCATCCCTGGCAAGCTTGAGGGATCTGCTGGCCATGGCTCACTCACCAGAAGGATGAAACAAAACAGTTGGCAGCACTGCCAAAATATATGCTGCAGCAAACAAACCGCAAGCACACAACCTGATGAGTCCTCAATTTCAAATGTGCAGCATCTGCAAAACTGTTGGAAGGAACATCACACAATAGCGTGTCAATCAACAAATTCTGCCTGTCTTGCTCCATGTTTGGTGCCTGTGTGTGCTGCCATTGCATTTGACAATCTGCAATCCTATCCTTAAGCTTTGCATTTGACAATCTGCTCAAGCTTGTCTTGCTCTAGCCTTTTTTGCAATCCTGCGTGGACTTTTCAGTCCACCCCTGACCCCGTTGGACTTTGCAGTCCTTCGTTGGACTTTGCAGTCCTTCCTTGGACTTTGCAGTCCTTCCTTGGACTTTGCAGTCCCAAGTATAGGAACCCCAAGAACAAACACAATGCAACTTCTTCATCACATGAAAACATGTAAAAATATCAATATTTAAATATCAATATTTTCTTGGAAATCTTAATATCATTTTTTTCGAGCGAGCAAGATGGGAAAAACCAATATTTGTAAATTACCGAGCGAGGATTGGTTTCCTTTTTGAAAACCGAGCGATATTGGTAAAAACCAATACCCGAGACTTGGGGTTGTGGGCGCAGCGAGGAATTCAAGGCGCGCTTTTTGCTGGTGGCAGCGTCTCTTGACGCGCCATGCAAGTCATATTAGCAGACTGCCGCTATGCATCGCCAAATTGCTGGCAGCCGGGCGTGCTTCGCTTTCAAAGGTCTGCTGGACGGAAGCCGTGTCTGGCGCGCGCGAACGTGTCCGTGAAGAGATATCTCTTGGCCGCGCAGCGCTGGGATGATTACGATCTACAACAGCGGCCCTCTTTGTCGCTCACGTCCGAGACTGTCCGAGACCATCTCGCAAACGGCGGACGAGCTCCGTGAAAATTGAGGCCGCAGAAAAGGCGTTCGGCGTGCCGTGCGAGCCTCTAGGCGTCCTGCACACGCAGATCTTCAGGCAGCGAGACTAAGGCGTTGCTCTGCTTGAAGCTGAGCAGTGTCTGCCTGCGCTGCAGGCCGCCACGCCACTGTCGCTCTGCCATGTCACGGCCAGCGTTCGGAGCGCGCTTCGGGTGCTGGCGCAACGTGGAAGCCCGCCGCGGCCGAGCTCTTGGCGGCATATCCCCATCCTCGCCGCTGTTTGTGGAGAAGGTGACGCGCAATGTCATGCCACGAGAGACCGCTTCCCTGTTCAGAGTGCGGGACATCTTGGGCCTGTACCAGGGCTTGAAGGTTGGAGGCTTGCCGGTGAACGCCGCGAGCGCCGCGACCTTCAGCATCTGCAGCACCATGATGCGCTGCAGGCGGCGTGTGGGGCCGAGATTGTGGTTATCATCTCGGGCCGCAGATCTTGCGCGATGGCATGGTGCTGGACTGCTGCCCAGTTGAGCGCAAGCACCGGCTACTCAAGGCTTACGCCTCGCACTTGCGCCCGGGCCCTGGGTTCGAGCGCGGCATCTTTGCCCGCGCACATCGGTTTTCGCTGCGCGGGAGGATGCTCTGTTGCGCGGCGAGGTTTTGTGCGACGACGACGCGCACATTCTGGTGTCTCATCAGTTTTATTGGAAACAAGACCTCTACACGGCGGACGACGTTGTCCTGGCGCGGGGCGTCCCCGTGTCCCTGGTCTGCGGGCTACGCGTTGACGAGCGCATGGCAGCTGTGGTGGTGCCGCTCGAGTTCCTGTCCAAGTCCACGACCTTCTCAACGTGGCGTCAGCGGGGTGTGAAAGTGCGCTGCTTGCAAGACGGCCTGCGCCTCGCTCTTGGGTGGCAGCGGCGCGGCGACATTGTCGAGATCATCGCTTGGTGACACTGGCAAAGACTCAGTGCAGCAAAGCGTGGCTGTGTGGAAAAAAGCCCCGCTCGCTTTTTCAGCGCGTGCCTAAATTTCTAAAAATCATACAAAAAAGCTAAGTTCACCTAAGTTCCCTAAGTTCCTTAAGTAACTTAGGCTAGAACTTACTAGAACTTAGCGATAAGTCCTTATAAGTTCTCTAGAACTTACACTAACATCTATCGTATCTTCCTTAAGTTGCTATAGAACTTGCGCTAAGTTGTATAGAGACTTGCGAAGCTTACTTTGGATTATAAGTTAGGATGTAGAAGTAATAAGTTGGGTTATAAGTCTCTATAAAACATAGCCTAACCCCGACACATGGCAGTAATCATGCTGCTCGAAGCCGTTGATGTTTTAGACAACGACTTCCATGATGCGCGGCGGCTCTCTCGCAGAAATGGCGGCGCAAACAAAGCACAAAGGGTTCGCATGGTCAAGATCACGTCGTTGGCACTCCGCGGCCATGTTTGCGGGCTTATGGCATATATACCAGGTGCGTGCTCTTCGGCTTGGCAAGCTGGATTCTTTGGTCACATGTACTGCTATGCTCTATCTGTCACCTGGCTCCTTCAGCTTGGATGACTTCCAGATGCACATTGCCCGTGTCCCCACACATGCTTGCATTGCTGACACATCCAGCCGGCGCGACATGTCACTTGCCGCCAAGAACGGGTGGATTGTCCTACGCCCTCTACCACCGAACCACTCGTGTAATAGGCGATGTGGAGTTCGCCCATGATGTCGGATTCGACGACACCCGGAACTAAGTTCCACACAACTCCCCCCGACACTCTAGCCAGCAGCCCACGTCTGGCCAACAGTTAGGGGATCCCACACGCTGTAAGGAACTTCTTGCTGTACCTTTTCTTTGTCTAGGTCAGTTCGTCGTCCGGCCTCACCTTCAACGGGAGTTGACCTACGACGGGGAGAACGCCCACCTTTTCTGTACAACCCGTTTGGTTTGCATTTTGGGTTTCATTCCGTTTGAAGCCGTACCTTATGTGAGTCATGGATGTCAAGGAGACATCGCCATCGACTCCAGCGAGTCAGAGGTTGACCGTCCCACCCATCAGAGGACATGTGGTGAAGAAGAGTAGCGCTGCTGGTTGCAGCCCATCCTGCTGGAGCGATTCGTTGTTGTGCTCGGGGCTTTTGCCCTGCGCGTGGCAGAACACACTGCCGATCAAAGCGCCAGACTTACCCGCCTCCGCGGGCAAGAGCCCCTGCGCCCCCATGCAGCTTCACATTGACATGGACAGGTCCGCCTTCGCAGCTGCAGGGGGCCGGCCATCACAAGAAGCGTCGCGGTCCTTTATTTGAATATCCCTTACTTAAGGTTTCCAAGGGTCTTCCAAAAAGAAGGGCCCTGAACATGAGTTGCGGTTGACTCTTGAATTCCCGTTTGAACAGCGCACTGAAGATGAGATGATTGTATATAGTGGTGGGCCGAAAGTCAGGAGACGGGTTTGGCGACGGTCTTGGCTAACGCATTCAAGAGTTGATGGTTCGTGCGGCATGCTGCCTCGGGTTCAGGTTTTGGGTACACCAACAACATGAAGCCCGTCAGAGGGCCCTGTTCAGCGTAGAATGATCGTTCCATGTTCGTGGGAAGTAGGGTGCTTCTTCAGTTGTTTTCCTCCGGAAGGCTTGTCACAAAATAGGTGTTTATACACTCGACGCTGCAGGTTTGACAATCAGCGAACAAAACATCAAGCAAACAAACAACATGGTGGCTTCAACAACGGGAATTGATATCTAAAACCATCAATCTAGGCCAGCTGCATTCCTCAGATGAGGAAGGTCCTTTTAAGGAACGGTTGTATCCGAAATGACCACTTGGCTTTCGGGGGGCTCGGTTCGATGCTCAGCTTGCATGAGGGCCGGGATCCAGATGAGTTGTGTGTCGAAGGTGCGCGTCGCCCCTTAGTGAATAGGGTGGGTAGCTGATAGCGTGAAGTGCAGCTGTATGTTGGCAGGCTTGTTCACAATCGGCCATCGGTCAGCCAGACTCGGGTGATCTAGTAGGCCAAAAGCCTGTGAAAAAAATGTGGAATACGCGCAAGGACCTGTTACATTGTTGCCGTGAATGATTTCTGTTCGCCCCTATCGGGCAGCAGGCAAACCCTGATCAATCACTGGCATTTGACGTCCTTTTTGTAGTAACCCTTCATTATGTATTTTCTATAAATCAAGCATCGCCTCGTGTTTCATTGCCAACAAGAACAGAAATGGCAAGTTGGTGGATGTTTTCGTAAGTCCTTTAATCAGCCCCCCAGTTAGTCTCAGAATTAGCTCCTTGGCATCACTTGGATTTCGACCCCTCGCCATGGACGCGGCGAGGAATCCAATCCCCAAACCTCCATTTCACATTTGGTTTCTGGAACCGAACGAGTTTGTTGTGGAGTAAATCCCTGTCCTGGGAGGGATTAATGAGACATACCCAGATTGTCAGGTAACCCCTGGGTGGTTTGGAGCCCGGTGGTTTGGATTAGCCCTGGTTCTTGAAGGATGGGAAACCTCTCTGGAACACCCCCAAACCACCAATCCGAACCACCAGTGGAGAACGGAGATTGAGCAATCTGGGGCAAATGCTGCTGCCGAGAGGAATCAAAAGCACTGAGGCGAAAGCGGCTCTTCTACCATCTGCAGGCCAAGTATTTGCGTGGCTTGGCAGCAAATCTGGATGTGTAAAGACCAGCCTGCAGCCTTGCAGCTAGACTCGTTGCCTTTGGCAATTCGCTGAAGACATGCATGACGAGTTGGTTTGGTCACCGAGGTAAAATGTACCCATTCTGGCGCATTCCAAGGTGGCAATTGCTCGGAAGAAAACTGGTTCTGTTCTTTTTGTAGGGGCCATGAAGGCTCCTGAGGATCCGCACTTTTTTCAGATGATTACAAATCACCCAGATCGCAATCATCCCATGAAACAAGCACGCGCCTTTATAATGTGGCTCCGTTCATGACGGTTTGTTAACCTATGCACCAGGGGTTTATACTAGAGAATCGCACCTGGGCCAAAAAAACAGGGCTTATGCATTCAGAACGGAAGATACAAAACGTCCCGCAATCGATTTGCATTGTTGTCCCAATCATCCGAAAGGATGCTGAAATTCAGGATAGCAACTTTGCTCCATTTTGCTCCGCAAGGGTGTGGCTTAACAGCAGTTGGCCCTCGAGAGGGCTGACAAGCCGATTCATGCGTTTCCTTTGACCATGGGGTGCCACAGAGTCCACAACCAGGCCATCTAGCTTGCTGGTGACAGCTTAGCGCGGCGCCTGGCCCAGCAATCCACCGGTGAGGCCAAACTCTTCTTGTTTCAGGCTTGCTGCATGGTTCTGGTCAACTCAAAAGTGTTAGGTTTCGTTGGAGACCCCAAATTGCAACATTCTTCTCCATGATGGCAATTTAGGTGTGTCCCACCCGATTGTAATCATTTGGGCCCGGGCCAACAAGTAGAGGCGTTTCTCTCGTTTCCCTTTTAGACCCTCCAAAGTGTTCCGTCAAATGACGCCGCCATAGAAGCAACCCTGGTGTCTACGCGCAGAGCTTGATCAAATTTCGGCATTCCCAGGCAGCGCAGACCGGATCTACTATGCCCGGATGCTCAAGGGCGATGCCCGCGGCTGCTTTGGGTACCCGCCGGACCCTAGTTAGTCAAGGTTACCCGGGCAACCACCCCTCATTGGTAGGGTCCTCTAGTCCGAAGTGAACCTTATTTTCAGGAGTGAGTTTGGGTGTCGTGACCGCTTTCAGTGATGAAAGTGACAAGGAGTGGCAAAGAAGTTAGTCGCCCGACATTGGCAGGGCACTCGCTTGAATAGGCTGGAATCTTTTCTTTTGGAGTTCTTTTTTGAGGTTGCATGTGAAGTTCCAGAGGTTGTCCTGCTCACAGGGGCCATGTTTGGGAGAAGATCCTTGGGGGGGTGACTCCCTGCACTAGCATGGAAGCTGACAGACGGTTCCTCCAAGAGGAACATGTTCTGAGAATATCCAACCAGGTTCCGAGCGTTTCGTGGGTGGGAGGGTTAGTATGGAGGGACAAACTGGGAGGGACTTTAAGGCTTCCGAAGCCTCCGGCATGGCACATACCACTTGGGTGGGTCAAGATGATGTTCCCTTGGTGACACCAGATTGATTGTGGAGATTCAGATATGGACGACATGAGCGGACGTCGAGAGTGAGAGCAACTGGAGAGCGACGGCTACCAGGGCAAGTTGAAAGGTAAGGGAAGCCAGGCAGGCTGAGGCCCTTTAGAGCAAGTCATTGACCTTGACGCTTCAGCTCGCAGGCGGCTTCTTGTTGATGATTTGCCGGCTTGTTTCCACACGAGGCTCTTGTGGAACCGTGAAAATGCTGATTGGACAAGAAATACCGCCCAAATCTGCAAATTAGGTTGAGAAGGAGCCCTGAGGGAAGCCTTTGCGAAGCCCTAGGGAAGCCTTGGGGAAGCTTGGGGAAGCTTGGGGAAGCCTTAGGGAAGCTTAGGGAAGCCCTAGACAACCATAAGGAAGCCGTAGGGAAGCTTAGGGAAGCTTAGGGCTCGGAAAGCTTAGGGGGACGCAACCGAGTAGCGCAGCTCGAATCTCCAAAACCAAGGGATCTCTTAGGTTCAGCTTTGGGGTACAGGCACTCTTTGGACTCATAGCAATAGGCATCCTTAGGCATCCTTACATTGTTCACCTCTTTGGTTGCAAGGATCCCCTTTCAATTCATGACGAAATCCTGGCCCTCCCTTGGCGTTTTCAAAGCACGGCAAGCCTTGCCACTAGGCTCCGGGGGGGGGGGGGGAGCAGGCAGACCCTTTTCACTTGCCTCGCCATGTCCGGGTGGCAGCAAAACCGATGTCCACGCCACTATTGGCACCGGTTTTCTGAGTACTTTCCCTTTGCCGTGAGGCGCCATTCCAAGCCGGGTATAGGTAAGACGAAGCATTGGTTGTCCAAGTGATTTCAGTTGCAAGCCAAGCAACGATGGACAAACGGACAAATGAAGCCTAGCAATGCGCTTTTCTTTGTGGCCTTTTGTTTCCTGTCGGCACTCAGACCCGGGAATTGGATTGTTAATGTTCTGTTTTCCACACGCCCCTCTCCCCAAAGGCACCCGACAGCCTTATCTTGGTCCTTTGGCTGGCTGAGTTGCTGCTCTGTGACGATTTGTTTCACACCGTCTATGTTTCAGAGCAGGCTTCCCAGTTGTTCCCCGCGAGAAACAAGAGCTTGGAGCCCCATTGCAGAGCAGAAGGCCAAAACTGGGTGGCACGTGGTTTGCCATGGGTTTTGCATTCCCTGCAACTCGGTCAGAATCCTAGTCCCTTTTTGTTTCAATGGTTGTGCCATATTGCATATGCTGGGTCTGGAGATACAGCCATTTTGGGCTTCTCCTATTTTAAGACACACCCATATGAGTTGATGCTGGCTGGTTTCCCAGCAACGCTCGACGCTTTGGGCCTGAGGTTCTTAGCAACTTGGACGGTCGAGTGGAAGCAGCGGATCAGCGGATCACCAACGATGCGCGGGCCTCACGCTGGTTCTTGGAGGGTTTACCCCCAAGTCATGTTGGGAAATGGGGTAGATATCCGCCAAGCCATGAAATGATGGATGAATATATATATATGCATATATATATACATATATATATATACATATATACACAAAACATGCTCAAAAGCGAGTTAAAGCCTTTTAAAGATGGATTGTCGCTCCATTCCTCAATATTCAATCCTTCTCAAGAATTCCTTGACTCGCTGCGGCAACCTCAGTTCTTGAGGTTTACTCTTCCCAGTCTCTTCCTGGAAAGCACCGTCTCCTTTGTTCAATAAGGCAAAGCCCGGGTGACCTCTTGCTGGCATCCACCTTGGATTGTTCCTTTGTTTTTCATTGGCTGAGGAAAGCCAGGAGATGCCGACTGGGGCGGATTTCCTTGTAAAGAAAATTGCTGGCCAGTGTGCCAGAAAGGGGGTGGTCTCAAAACACGGGCCCAAGACACACCCCTCCCCCCGAAAAGAGAAGAACAAAGAAACAGGGCATGCGTTTTGTTGCCTTTGCTAGCAACCAAGCCATCTGGTCGCCCCCCCAAAACAAAACATTTGTGCCATGAGTCTCCCCGTCAAGCCTAGCAATTCAGACCATGGACAACCCCCAACAGAGCCCGGCCACGGGCCACATCACAAGCTTCTCTTTGCTGAAATTAGTATTTGTTACTTTCCCCGGTTGGTTTCAAGGGAATCAATTTCACTACTGGACATATTTTTTCAGGGGGCGAACACGCAAATGGAAGTCTTGGTTTGTACTTGACGGAAAACCAAAGGAAGCCCTTGCCATCTTAGGAAATGGAACGAAGCCCAAAATTTGAGAAACACCCAAAGCAGCTGTGCCTCACGTCTTGCGGAAAGGCCTGAGCCCGGCCTTCGTTGACTTTTTCTGGGGTGCCGCCCTTTCGGAGGGATCTGGATATCACTTTTGGGCGGAAAAGCCATGCGCCGGGGCCGGGGGCAACCTGCCAATGCAATCAGGGTCACCCCCAGATCCATGCTGCTCTGAAGGCCAGTTGATGATGTTGGAGCTTGGACAAAATAGAGGTCGACTTGACTTTCCTGAGGCCAAGAGGGATCTCACTTGTCTTGGATTCTCATAGAGTTTCAGATGGTCTTTGAGGCAACCAACTGCGCAAACAATGCAAGGGCTAAGCTAGATGTCTTCTGAACCACAGCAACCCGAGAAAACCATCTTTTAGATCCAATCAAGGCCGTCTTGCGCTGCGCGTTCCATTTGAGCGACCCGGGCTTCGATCCAACACGCGCCGTTGGCGTTTGAATCTGCTTCGCTCGGGCGCTGCTCTTCATCCCTTTTATATTTAAACACATTCTGGTGGTGTCCTTTCAAAACAACCCAAAAGCTACCTCTCAAAAGACACAGGCCCACACACACACACACACATCTCAATATATCCAACCTGTCATCCAACCTACTGAAGGCTATCTGGATACTGTACTGTTTCCGACATTAATGAAAGTGGACGTTGGGGACATGTTCAACAGCACGGTTTTAGCGGAAGCTTCTCAAGGGGGATTCCTTCCTACAATTTGCGGGGCGAGCAATGCAAGAGGCTAAAACAATCATGCTAACCAATTGCTCCTCTAAGCATGACTGAAATTGGTTGGAAGTACCCGGAAACCGCATTCTTTTTTGGGGGGGCCCTTACAGCATTCACTCGCTTTTTCGAGGTGGATCTGCTGATGCAGTTCAGCTTCGAGTTCTTCTTGGGTGGCATCATGAAGCCGGACAGCGGCGTTCTCTTCAAGGAGCGATGCCAGCCTTTCCCAGTGCGGCGCCATGGCGGCCACCAAGCCCCTTCACGTGTTAGGTGGTTCTACTAGCTTGTTTGATCCATCTGATGGGACTATAGCACAATCTATAACATGAACCTCTACGACGGTATAAGTGGCATTTGGGGAACAAACCGTCAGCGGCTTTCCGGCGCTGCTCATTGGTGCCATGGTCAAAAGGCACCTTTGGCAAGGAATCCCAGAACTAGAACCGCCGTCATTTTGTTCGACGTTATTTCATATCTTCAGGTTCACTGAATGACTGGAATCCGACCGTTTGTTTGTGTTTGATATTTATATATATATATATGTATGTATGTATATATATATATATGTAACATTGGGCAAAAGCTGAGGTAGATTGCCTAGTCCGGTGGCGGAATGTTCTTTTTGCTTAGCGAACCGCGGGTGTTCCTTCCTGCTTTGCGTAACGGAGGCCAAGAAGGGCTTCAAAAGTGAATTCTTGAATGTTACCTAGCGCTTCTAACTGCCATTAGCCAGTAACCAAGTGCATTTTGACTAGGTCCCCCAGTAGTGCCCTTTTGCCCCTTGTTTTGGGGAGGGTTCCCCTACTAAAATAGACTACAGCAAAAAGGGTACCCTTATTTTAAGCTCTCAACTGGAGGACCTAGGCAATTGTTTCCATGGGCGCCTGGGCCAATGGGAATGTGGTATCCAGTTGGGAGACAGCGCCCGAATTTACCCGATATGTTGTTTTGGATGTTTACGATTGCCGTTGTGATTCTTGTTTGTCTTGCTCCCTTCACCAGATGTTTCATGATACTCATGGTTATTCATGTCAGAATTGTTTGTTCCTTTTCCATCATTTAGTTGTTTCTGTGTGTCTTGTCTCGCTTCTTACGGTGATTGTTTATGCTGGTGTTCCTTGTTTTCGGTTTCTGAGTGCATTCCTTCTCTGATGTTCTGTTGTCTGCCTTTTGCCTTCTGATTGATTCATTTTTTGGTGCTGATGGTGGCCGCCGTCTTGCTGCCAACAAGCCATACTGAAGGTTGATATTGTGGGGGATTTCCGGGTTGCGCCGCGTCCACAACAGTGCCAAGTATGAAGACTCCACGGAGAGAGAGAGTTTTCCTACCCAACCGTGCAAATCGCATCGTGTCAAGATGCCTTGCATGGAACTCGGGTTATTGATTCGACTGTGTCAGTTGTGAGACATTCTTCCCTGGAAACGGTTTCAGCCAGCGCCCCGAATGGTGAAGCTTTATATTCTACCAAGCCACACATGGCTCAACGCACCCTTGCAAGCAGAACTGTTCATGGGCAGACTCCTGCAGCAGTTGGTACTTGTTGGTGGTTTATCGAAGTGTGCATAGGGGAACTCATTTTAAATTTGTAAACTGCAGCAATATTTTGTCCATATACGGTCCGCTGTTGTTTCGGGGTGGTACTTTCAGGGCCAACCTGGGCCATGGAGGTCTTGGACCCATGGGTTCACCGACTGATTAGAACACATACTATCGTCCTAGTTGTCCTCATCTTACCAAGACAAACCACAAACAAGTAATTATTTACTGTAATTACAACCAACCAGGTAACGAGACGTTCACCGACTGACTCCCTCCGACTCGAGTTTTTTCCGGGATTGTTCTAAGGTTCCTGACAGATAAGAGGGAATGTGTCGAGACCTCCAGGTTCTCATTGAATCTCATTGATATCAGTGCCGTTTTTTGTGTTTAAATCCCAAGAGCTCCAAAGTCAGAGGCTGGTGTGCCAGCGCTTTCCAGTCACGGCAACCCCTTCGAAACCTAGAGGTAGACATTTCAAGGGGCTCCTACGTAGTCAGACTGCATAGTTTTTGAGCACACCATTGTGGTGGTAGGAAAAAACAACAGCTTGAACTTTTGAGATAATCCAGCCCCCAGACATGCGACTAATAGATGCTTGCCTAGCCCACAAAATGTGCCAGATGTCCGTCTTCCTGGTCAGCTGCTGGATTGTCTGGATGGATGTGGCCCGGGCACTTGGGCATGGGCAATTCGGCAAGTTGTGTCCAGCGAACCCGAGAGAACTCCAGCGGGAATTGCTTCCCGGGAGATTCAGATTGGACCCGAAGAAACTCTCATATGACGGATGTTGCCCTCCCCTTCCCTGAAAATGGGCGCGCATGTTCGGCGTGCTGTTGGCACGACCGCCAGCCCAAAGGGGTTCAAGTTGTTTGAGACAGAAGCACGAAAGGTCCCGTGTCTAGAGGAGGAAGATGGAGGAAGCTGCTTTGGGGGAGTGCTTTGCTGGGTTCCTTCCGCTGATGAATAGGGGCAGCAGAGGCAGGTTTCCGTTTCTTTTTGATATGCCCCAAGGTAGGCCTTAAAACCCATCAGTTTATGGGGAAAAAACCGCCAGCAACTTGGGCAACTTGAGTGTAGGTCTGGTAAAGAAAAATGGAGCACCGGAGATGGGTAGGGAGACCTGCGCTTTGGCACAAGTCGCTCATGAAACCCGGGTCCCGGATGTCGAGCCGGCTTGAGGCTTGAGGATCCACGGGTTGGATAAGGATATTGCCATGTTATAGTGTTTGAGATAACGCGGCTACCATTTAGGTGTGTCTGTATTTGTTTTCCGGCGGGCTAAAATGCTCATGACTTGTAAATTGCTTCCACCCTGGTGGATCTCGGGATCTCGGCTTCCACTGGCAATGGTCATGCCTGGACAAAATAGTTCCCTGTGCAGTGCAATGTCTTTGTCTTCGGAGGTGTCGGCGTTGGTGTTGGTGAAAAGGGAAACCCAAGGGATACCCGCCCCTCCTGATGCTTTGTTTGTTCCCTTTCAAGGTGTTGTTTTGTTAGTAAGACGCAAAGCTTTTCGGGTCAATGGATGGAATCCCGGGTGTTCTTCGTTTTGAAGGAGAACTCACAGAGAGACTGCGCGCAGCCCCGAGCCCTTGTCCGAGGAGCACACCATGCCTGGCATGGGGGGAGCAGCACCCTCCATGGCCTCCGGGCTCTTCCTAGCACGGGGGCCCAAGCGGCGGTGCGGGGAGGAGGGGAGGAGGGGAGGAGGGGAGGGGGGGAGGGAGGGGGAGGAGGGGGAGGAGGGGAGGAGGGGAGGAGGGGAGGAGGGGAGGAGGGGAGGAGGGGAGGAGGGGAGGAGGGGGGAGGAGGGGAGGAGGGGAGGAGGGGAGGAGGGGAGGAGGGGAGCAGGGGGAGGGGATCATTTGACCAAGTGGCAGTTCATCCGGCTGGTGGCATGGCCAATTTGGCAGAGCACATCTTTGGACGAAATGGCCAGAGCGTAGAGGTTGAAATACCTCTCCATCGAATGAATGGCTTTGTAGCCAGCTACCACTTTGTTGGTGGCCTTTCGGTATTTTTACCCCTAGGTTTTACATGGTTTTCCATGGTTACCTGTGGTGGAAACTGGAAACGCTTGAATCGAGAGGCAAAGGAGGAGCAGAAAGGGCAAATATGGATAAGGTGGAAGTATAAGATGGACTGGAGAACATCGTTTCTGTTTGCCAACAATTGTTGAAAGGGTTTGCGTCAAGATTCAAGGCTTTTTGGCCACGAGCATTCGATTAAAGGCATACAAGCCTTTTGGTTTCCTATCCAGCGCCAGAACTGTCCTTTGACCAGCCTGGGAATGAACATAGATGGATTCCAACCACGGTTCGTCATGGGCACGTTCCATATTTTCCAACGGCATCTAGGTTGAACGCCCCGTTTCGGTCAAGACATGAAGAGATACCAACAATCGCCATCACGTGTGGTGGGTTAGCCTAGTTCATGGGGAGTGACGGAAGCAAACAACATGTGGCCATTAGGTTTTTGCGGGGCCGAAGGGAATCGAAAAGGACATCTGCCATTGGTTTCTGTTTGTGAAGGGAAGCAAACAGGAAACCGCCATTCGTGTTTGTGGGTAAGGGAAACGAACAGGAAGCCTGGCAGTAGTTGAAGGTACGGACATTCGCTTTTATAAGGGAAGCGCCCAGGAACGCCAGCTTGCGGCACGGAGGGTTGCCTGAAGCCACTGCTACCCTCCATGAGTGCATCATCCACAACTTTACCCTCGGTCAAATGTTGGTATGTGACCTACATGGCTTGGGGGAATGGAGGCTAGAGAACCTCTTGCAGATCAATGGAGGCAAACTCTTGCAGGCATCGGTTCTTTCAGTCGCCGAAGTAGACATTAGGAGCTTTCAAGCTGTGCCCCGAACCTGTTCAGTCGTTGATATTAGTTTGGCCCTTGCTTTGGTTCGCATTTTTTCGTTTTGTTTTGTTTTTTCTCCACCAAAGGTACTCTTCTTTGAGGCTGACCTTTTCTGCACCGTGCACCAGACTCACATGAATCCATCCCTGCTTGGGCGCCAAAAACGACTCCTCCGCCGAGTTCCCCCCTTAAAATGCGCGAGGCGACCGATAGTTTCTAACCCACCTGTCCCAGGTGTCACTTTTGCAAGAAAAACACATAATATGTTCCCCTTGCCAGTTTCCCCAATGGACATCCCTCCCGTTCCACACGCCACGCGAGGTGACCTTCCTCATCGCCCGAGCCTCGAGTTTCCCTTCAGCGGCCATTCCGCGAGCGGCAAGATGCACTCCCCCGGCTACCCTTCTCACCCGTTTCGTTTTTGGTTGGGAGGGTTCCCCGAAAATAGACTGCAGAAAAGAAATCGGGGGCCCTTCTAACCTCCCTACTGGACCTAGTAGAGGAGCCCGCCCCGCTATGAGAGAGTCGATTCATTACATGAAGGGGTCCAAGCCATGCCGCGTCTGAAAAAACATTGGAGGCCCAACGGGCAACTGGTGTAGAATGAACTCGTGCATTTTGGATTTGATATCCAGTTGGGCTGCCCAAAACCCAGGTCTACTCTCTCCGGTGAAAGTCGGTGCGTCTGCGTCCAACTTCGTGTGCCATGCAGGGTACTGATTGAGGAAGTCGGTGCGGCTTGCGTCCTGGTGGGGGTTTACATATGTATGGTTACCGTTGAACTCGAATTCCATGCGGCAGGATTTTGTGTGAGCAGACTTCCTGTTGCCATACCATTGGGATTTGAGCGAACTTTGCACGCGGACTGGAGGCAGTGTTTTTGGAGAGTGCTGGTTTTGAGCGTGGCGTTACACCCATCTGTAGAAGTCGTTGCGTTTTGCGCCTGCTGTGTGTTTTGAGCACGTTGCCTCAATGAGCCCACGGTCTTTGGATAGGCGGTGCTTAGGTAAGTTCGGGCGAGCACACTGATATGACTTCCTCTTTCTGCGCTGTGCCATTGGGAGACGTGACTTTGATTTACACCCTCCGCTAGGGTCACGAGTACTACTTTCAATTGCGCGCAAAAAAATAAGGTCTTCAAACAAACCTTTTTTCTGTACGAGCGAGTAGCGCGCGAGTGTTCGAGTCGCTCGTCCACTCGTCCACTCGTACGGGCGCTCGCCCGTTCCACTCGCACACTCGCACAGTCCACTCGCACACTCGCACGCCCTACTCGCACACTCCACTCGCGCACTCGTCAAAAAGCCACTCGCGCACTACTTGGCAACATGCTTGAAAAAAACATGTTTACAACCTCTTGGCGCCAGCGAACGCATAGGGGTGGCTATGAACAAAGAAATTTGCAACATTGCAGCGCATGTTGGTGAATGGTGGTGTGCCATGCGTTTGTGGACACTATGAACATTTTTTACGCTCGTGACCTAGCTCAGACAAGTAGAAGCTAATGTGAAAACGCATAGGCACGAACTAGCCGGACAAGGCAGTCGCAACATAAACACGCACTTTTGATGTGGTGTGCCATGCTGGTTTGCTTGTGGGGTGAGATCCGGCGGTTGTGGGGTGAGCGGTGTGCCAAGCGGTGGGGTGAGTAGTGCCTCCCATGGGTTTTGTGTCTAGGGGATCTAAAGCAATGCTCAAAACTGAAAACATGAAATCTTGAAGTGTTGCGTCCAATTCCGTCCCATACTGTTGGAAATTTTTCATGCCATGCGGCGTCCCATTTGGATTTGTTGCTTCCGGTGCTCCCACTGGATACTTTTCCCAGCTGCACATCCTATTGCGTTTCATTGGGACATCGTACGTCCAAATTATAGTGCTTAAACACGGGCATCTTCACATACTGCGTCACAGTGGGATTTACACATCGTACGTCCAAATTAGTGCCTAAAAACGGACATCTTGACATACTGCGTCGCCCAAACTAGTGCTTAAAAACGGACATCTTGACATACTGCGTCACAGTGGGATTTGGCAAGTTTTGCGCTGACTTCTCTGACTTCGTGAATGCGCTTGCGTCTCATGCAGGTTTGCTTGTGCAAGCTGTCGTGCACCGACTTTCGCCGCCGAGTGTAGGGGGTTTGGGTGCGATTTCATTTGCGTTGTTGTTTTTCTGCTCCCTTGCGGATTGTGAGGGTGTTGCACCTTTCTGAGCACTTCCCGTCGAGATTCCATGCAGCTCTTCCATGGCAAAGTGTGCTTTTGCTCCCTACGTTTTGGAGGGTTCACTTCCAGGGATGTTGTCCGCTCAAACTCACTGGAGTGTGTTTTTTCTCGGAGTTTCACTAAGGCGAAATGTAAGTTTTGAGTGGTTTGCTGAACTCACCCAAAGTTTCGGGCCAGGAAGTGGACGCCCTTTTGTCCTTCCCACGCAGCCCTTGCCGCATGCCTTGCGTGAAAGAGTGTCGTAGCTTCGCCTCCGCCATACGTGCACGTGTTGTGTGATAAACTCGTTGACTATGCCATGACTTCCTGGCCCGTTACGGGCGCCGCGCAGAAGGACTCCGGGGTTTGTCTCATTGGGAGAATCGCGGCGGGTTTTTGCCCAGACGTTTTGAGGGTCCCTGTATTTTCAACCAAGAGAGTTAAGGGGTGAAGCTATAAGGCAACAAGGTGCCCCGAGGAGTGTGCACCAGCGCACAAGTGAACCGGTGGGGGGCAAAGTTATCATGCCAACAAAAACTTGGCCGAAGCCCATTGGCCTGAATCTAATGTCTCGTTTCGCTGCAAAAGAATGTTTGGCCACTATTGTTTTTGGTGTATCCCAGATGAAGGCTGAGAGACACCATGTGTATGCGATCTCACCTGGCAAAACGAGCTCACCATGTGGGTTCGATTCTTATTTCCAGTGCCCCGAGTTTTTGTTTGTTCGGATTTGGTTGCACCAGTGGCCTTCCAGGATGCCCAATACTACAACTATTGTCACCGTGCTTATGGATGGCTCGTAAGAGTAGTATGTGTATGTGTGTGTGTGTATGTAGACATATATATATATATACCCGAACCCCCCCGACCCCTCCCCCTCAATTTTGCAGAGGGTGCGGGGGCTCTGGGGGGGATACGATGGGGGGGTAGGAGGGCGAAGGTGGGACAATATATATATATATGTATATGTATATATATGTATATATATTTCTAGAAATATGTATTGCATATATATATATATATATATGTATGTTTATGTTTATGTGTATGTATACATATATATATATAGATAGATATATATACAGATATATATATGTATATATATATGGTCCCCCCCCAAAAAACCCAGGTTTGGTCTGAAAGCACTGGTACTTACTGTGTTTTCTGACAAAAAACCTGAATCTGCCAGAACCCTCAGTTGTCAGGCTGTTTTTTCAGTTTTCAAGGAAGCTTTCTGGCCAAGAAACTCTCTGCAAAACTGAACAAACTGCAAAAAACTGAAAAAACAACTGAAAAAACTAGAAAAACTGAAAATACGGAAAACAATTGAAAAAACCTGTAAAAAACTGAAAAAACTTAAAAAAAATAAAAACCAAGGATTCTGAGGGACATGACCCCCCCAACCATGTCCCTCAGAATCCTTGGTTTTCAGTTTTTTCAGTTCTCCCCGTATCTCCTGTTTTTTCAGTTTTCCTTGGCATCTGAGCAGAACCGAGCCCATATTTGAAGCTGTCTGGCTCCAGCGCTTCCTTACTCCTCTTCTGCCCTTTGTTCTGACATGTTCTGACCCTGTCCTAGCATGGCCAAGGAGCCTGAGGATATGACCTTTGATGACCTCAAGAACGCATGCGACGCTTTCGTATTTTCTGAGTAGTTTTCTTGCATTGCCCTGGTGACTTGTCCAGACAAATTGAGCCTCGTATTTTGTCAGCATTCTCCTAGTATGCTCCTTTAGTATTCCCCCAGTCTTCCTTGAGGATTTCCCTAGTATTGCCCTAGTCTTCCTTTAGTATTCTCTTGGTATGCCCCGAGTATTTCCTAGTAAGGGAAGCGAAATACTAGGGGAATACCTTCAGTATTGCCCTAGTATTCCTTAAATATTCTCTTGGTATACCCCTAATATTCTCTCAGTGTTCACCTTAATATTGCCCTAGTCTTCCTTGAGTATTTCCCTAGTCTTGCCCTAGTCTTCCTTTAGTATTCTCTTGGTATGCCCCGCGTATTTCCTAGTAAGGGAAGGGAAATACTAGGGGAATACCTTCAGTATTGACCTAGTATTCCTTAAATATTCTCTTGGTATACCCCTAATATTCTCTCAGCACTCCCCTAGTATTCTCCCTGTGTTCACCTTTAATATTGCCTTAGTCTTTCTTGAGTATTTCCCTAGTATTGCCCTGGTATTCCTTTAGTATTCTCTTGGTGTGCCCCCAAGTATTTCCTAGTAAGGCAAGGGTAATACTAGGGGAATGCCTTCAGTATTGCCCTAGTATTCTCTTGGTATACCCCTAATATTCTCTCGGCATTCCCCTAGTATTCTCCCTGTGTTCACCTTTAATATTGCCCTAGTCTTTCTTGGGTATTTCCTTAGTACTGCCCTATGATTGCCCTAGTATTCCCATATTATTGCACTAGTATTCAGTTAATTTAGTAGTCTCTTGGTATACCCCTGGTAATTCCTCACTACCCCATAGTATTCCCTTGCTATTTCCCCTAGTAAAGGGATGGAATTACTAGGGGAATACCTTGAGTATTGCCCTGGTATTCCTTAAGTATTCTGTTGGTATACCCCTAGTTTTCTCTCAGTATTCTCCTAGAATTCTTCCGGTATTCACCTATAAATATTTTCCTAGTACTTCCCTAGTAGTGCCCTAGTATTGCCCTAGTCAGGAAGCCTGAGAGAAGTCAGACAGATTGAGCTTGAGAGTATACCCCTAGTATTCCCTCAGTACTCCGGCGTATTATCCCAGTATTCACCTTTAATATTGCCCTCGTATTCCCTGAGTGTGTACCTAGTATTGCCCTAGTATTCCCCTAGTATTGCGCTAGTACTCCTTTAGTATCTCTTGGTATACCCCTAGCTAGTGTTCCCAAATATTTCACTAGTCAGGGAAGGGGAATATTAGGGGAATACCTTCAGTACTATCTAACTAACTAGGCAGCTAAATAGAGAACTAACTGAGTAACCAATTAACTAGCTAACTGGCTTCAGAGCTCATTCATTACAACTATTTAACTGACTAATTAGCTGACTTGCTGACTGGTTGTTTGACTAACTAATTGAACTTGCCTTGAACTTGAAAAATATGCGTTTCACAGAGGCGAAAATACACATGTTTCTCAAAAGTAGCATTTTTCCTAGTGATTTTTGCAATTGTCCAGGTTCAAAACCTGGGTTTTGGAGGGGGGGGGTTGCATATATATATATATATATATATGCATGTATGTGTATATATACATATGTGTATATGCCTCTCAGGCTTGTCAACCCCCCCCCCCCCCCCACCCCTCTCCCCCCAAATGCCAATGTGGTTGGAACTAAGGCCAGTGCTTCGAGTGACCAGAGGTAACCACCTCTAGGTTTGACCAGAGGTTCCCCCAGTCCCGAACCATTTGAAGCAGATTCCTTTTGCTCGCCTCACCCCCCCATGGACCCCCCGCTTTTTCAGCCGTGGCTTAGGTGGAGCGCTTCGGCGCTGCCGGCGAGTCTCTTGCACTTTGGCACGCGAGGGATATCAAGTTGAACATCTTCAAAAGGTCTTTCATTGGCATTCTTTGGGCTTGCAAGGTCCGCCATTTTGAGAAACTCCTGCATGTTTTTTTTGGTTGAGGGGAATCCTTTTTTTGAGGTTTAAAGCAAGAGGACATCCACCATTATTTGATTGTTTGTTGGGGAGGTCCCCTAAAAAGACACCCATGTGTATGTGCGCACTTGTTTTTGGCTATTTCAAAGGGAACTGGAATCTCATACTCTGGATGGACGAAATCTGCTTCGCACCAGTTGGTAGCCAGTTGGTAGCTGGTTATCCCAATGCATAGAGCTTATTACATCCCCACTGGTGCAGGAATTGTTCCATTCACAGTATGGTTGACATTCCCAGTGATTGTCCGCAACTCACTTTTGAGGAATCAATCTGAGACCAACCAAAGAAAAGGATGGCAAGTCCCCAAACCGACCGTTTGAATACAGCCCACAAACACAAGTGCCCTCAAATAAGGTCCCCCCCCCAAAAAAAAAACAAAGCTGCAAGACTCAAATAAGTTCATGCCCTGTTCGCTGGTCCATGTTCAAAACCTCAAAAAACCTGCCAGGGCGGCGGTGTGCAGAAGTGCAGCAGAAGCTGCAACTGCGGCCTGGCACGATAGGGGGCGGTCCGGGTGCCTTCGCACAAACCAACGGATCAATGCACCAAAAGGAAAACCAAAATCCATTGAGGGTCCAAATCCCTTTGATGCACATCCGCCTTTTGCAGATGCTTCATTATGCTTTGCCTGTTTGTTCTACAATATCCATTCTCCATCCAACTTGGCATCCCCCATTTCAAGGAATGCCTTTGTTTGGTGCACATGATTACTTGTGGAATCTGCTCCCTCCAATCCAGATCTGTAACACTGTATATATGACTCTTCCCCGAATTGGACATTGTTCGTGTCCTCCTCTCTGGCCTTTTTGCCCCAAAGCCCTCACGCCCACCCGCCCACCAGCCCTTTACAATCCACTTGACGTGGGGACATCCCCCAATCTATGCACCCCAGAGGACAATTGCTCATCCACTATCACCACCGTGGGTACCACTATGGAAGGTAGACAGTTATTTTTACTTGTAGGTTCGGCACCTGTATTTACCCAGGTTTACCTGATAATTTGTGTTTTACGTCAAGGGTTGTTTCCGATCGTTCTACCTTCAGTTTTACCAGTCAATGTGGAAAAAACTGCAAGAATTTGAATTGGGGGCCCTTTGGCGGACATCATCATGGGGATTCATGTCCAACCATCTTGGAGGGTTCCAAATTAAACTTCATGGCCATACGGATGTTGCTCAAATGTGAACCTTGCACTATTAACCTTTGGGCGCTCAACAGTTAATCCCCGAACGTTGGGCTTGGGAAACCACCCCCCCCAACTGCTCTTTCTGTGCCAAATCCAGCAAGTGTCCCCAAAAAGCAGTGGTTGGGACCCAGGTGCCGGCAAGAAATGATTGTTGTTGTGGGTTTTGCCTTTTCCACTGTTCCTGGCTAAACAAGCGGCCCCCCTTGTAGTGTAGAAACCCTTTTCAAGGGAGGCTGTTTATTTCCAGTTGTTTTTTGTTTTTTTTTCCGGGTCGAACACCTCCATGCCAAGTTCTCACCCCTTTTTCGCGCTTGTCTCCGCGCGTTCGCGGAGTCAGATCTCAGGTGCGAGGCCTCCTTCCGCGCGGCGCACGCGCGGTGCCGCTCCTTCTCGGAGGGCATCAGCTTCTACGGCGCCCAGCTGAGGGGTCGAACCGGAAGCCGTCGAAACCCGGGCGAAGCCGGGCGGAGCTTTGGCAAACGAACCAATTTTCTGGGTCCCCCAGCTAGGTGCCCTTCACCGTTTCTTTTTTTAGCGAGGGTTCCCCGAAAATAGACCACAGAAGAAAGAAAACACCGGGTACCCTTATTCTAAGCTCTCTGCTGGAGAACCTAGCAATTTGGGGGGGTTGATCAATATTCCTGGCCCCCAAATGACCATACGTATATGTTTTGTTCCAGTTTAATGGGACGTATCATCTTTTTGGTGGTTGTTCCCCAATCATCATCCCATGTAAAAGACCTTTTGATCAACCCCCATATCTGTGTGTTTGTTGTTTTAGGGGACAACCAAAGATGGTGGTTTTGCTGTTGATTTCCCATTAAAACCGCAAAAAAGGGGGGGTACCCTCAACAGAAAGACAGGCCCATATGAGTGGTTTCTCAAATTTCGGACCTCTTTGGTATTTTAAGGGAAAAGGATACCGTTGCAGTTTTAGGCGATCTCTATCACCAAGAACCAGGTACACTGTGTAAGCCAAAAGGGAACCACAGGGACACCACCAATTCTAAGGTGGTCCCCTAGTTTAACACACCAATGCGGCGTTTTTCAAACAGGCGGACCCCTTTTCAGGGTTCACCAATTTTGAGAAGCGTCCAGTAGCACCGCCCCCAAAACCGAGTCCCATGGGCATTTCATTTCCACAGAGTCCACAGAGGGTTCCTGGTTTAGCAGAAAGCAGGGCTAGACAACCTGTGGGTAGAGGTACACCAGGAAGGGTACAGAGGTACCCACCCGTTCAGCTGAGTGGATTCCACTCAGGTCATTCCGGGCCCCTTTGAATCTTTTGAGTGCCGTGCATCATGATCGTGATGCCAAATTCAACGTGAGAAAAAACTACACATGGCTGTGAGTGTTTAATAGGGTTTCACCTCATCCAAGAAACCGCCGATTGAACCATCATCCAGGCACCCACCTGCGCAACATCCTTCACCTTTTGGCCAACAGACCTGGGTGTTTTTTTTGCTTTTTGTCTCCCCCCTTCTACAGCTTTCTGCCCAAAGTTCCATGCGGTTTTTATGTCCCCGCCCGGCGGAAAACGCGTGAGGTGGTGAAGCCACTGAGAAGGTGATGCTGGACAAACACTTCCAGCCGGTGCTCACCACCTTCAAGTCCCTCGGATTCTCGTTATGTCCAAGGAAGGTGTTGGCTTGGGGATCTACGCCGGTTTGGTGGTACTTATACAGGCTTAGATAGACCTTACATAAAATGTTTATATACATGTGTATGTCCATATATATATAATATACTTTAGAGCCTCCGGCTCAGTCCGCCGACATTGTCCTCTCCCTTTTCTCCTTCTTCCTCTCTCCCTTGTCTCCTCCCCCGTATGTTCTGTCGTCCTCTCTCCCTCTCCCCATCCTCCCCATCCCCCCAAGCCTCTCTCTCCTCAATCTCCCTCTCTCTGTCTCTCTCTATCCTGTCTCTCTCTCTATCCCTGCATTGCATTTCTCCTTGATTTCCCCTTCATGTCCTTTTCAGGTTTCCCATGATGTCCTGGTCATGTCCCTTCCATTCCTTTCAACTCCCCCTTCATGTCCCTGTCATTTTCTCGGTATGTCCGCTTCATTTTCCATGTATGTCCCGTTCTGTCGTTGCGAGTCATTTCCCTACATCTCCCGCTCCTCTTGTTTTCGTTTCTGTCCCTTTCATGTCCCTTTCAGTTCCCCTTTGTTTCCCTCTCATTTCCCGTTGCTTTCCTGTCATGTCGGCTTCCTATTTCCTCCCCTCATTTCCTTGCACTTCCTTGCATTTCCCCTCTGCTCCCCAGTATTTCCCGCAAAAAAAAAACACGGTTTTTCCAGCGTTTTCGCAAAGAGGACGTCCAAAAACACAGAGTTGTTTTCCAGTTCGGCAAAAGGAGGCAGGAAACCAAGCCAGCAAAGAGCCGGCAGGGGGATTCGAGCCTGGGACCCCTGTCCGAAGACTATGTTCAGTGGAACGTCATCAAATTACCGCGGACCCCCCAAAAAAAATAATTCCAACGTATTTGACATCGGGCCGGGGGGGGGGGGGGCCCATCTTTTTTTGGTACCCGAGCGTGACCCCCACCCTACGCAAGAACAGCATTTTTCAACCATTTTTTCACTATTCAAATCGTCATCCTTATTCATTATGCATATTTCCACTCAAACCATTTCATAACAGTCTCAACCTCAAAATCCATCAAAAAAGTTACATTTTTCTCATTTTCTATTCCATCATTCTTGTCATTGTTAGGATGCTTGAGTGGAAATAGGAGTATAGGGTGGTTCATATGATATGGTTATTGATGGTAGGATGCATGGGCAAGGTTAAGCTCATTCATAAAAACAAGAATCAAAAAATAATATTTTCAAAAAAAATATCTTCAAAAAAAATAATAATTCAAAAACTAAATTTTCAAAAAAAAATCAAAAATAATTTTCAAAAAAATAATATTTTCAAAAAAAAGTAATTTTTCAAAAAATAAATTTTCAAAAATATTATTCCAAAAATTATGATAAATTATCTTACAATATTTTTATCATAAATTTTGTAGAAATATTATGGGCAAGGTTAGGTAGATAGAATTTTATAACTTAAGTTCAGGATAATAATTCAATTGATGACCATTAAATTGTGTATATATCTTATCTCTTTCATGCATCATTTTAAAAATAATATTAATATCTCTCACGGTATTTTTCACATTAAACCTTTTTCCTTCAATATATGTTTTAATGTCTTCTTTTACATCAAACCCTTCCCTAAAATGACAAGTCAACATCCACAATATACCTTTAATCATTTCATATTTTTTCTTACTGATTTTCAGAAATATTCTAACATAACTATAAGGTGGTATTTTATACACAGTTAAAAATATCAAAATGGCATCTTCAACATTTCTTTCATCTATTTTTTTAATCTCCAACATATTTTCTATTATATTTTGATATCGTCTCCATCTTCTACAAGTTCTACATTCGTCTTCTTTACCCAAAGCATAATCAATAATATTACTTACTATTCCATTAGGTAAATTCAATTTGTATAATTCCATATTTTCTTTTTTGAAGTGGCAACAGTCGTAGCATTTCTTATTGATATAATTATTGATTTCGGTTTCAACCATTTCTATTATAATATATATAGTTTTTATTTCTTTAAATACTTTTTACAAGAAATATTAAATTACTATTTAAATTATTATCATTTACAACTACAATTGCACCTAACACAGTAAGGAATAATATTATTCAGTTCGTGCGACAACTCGTTTGATTTACGTTGCGCTGTCAGATTTGTCATTATATTACCATTTTTCATATCAATAGTAAAACCACATCCGCAGTAATTGCATTGATTATTTATATTGTCTAAAAACCACTGTGTATTTACATAACCTTCTTTAGATATGGTTCTTTTTGCTTTCCTGTCCTGTTCTTTGTAATTTAATACTTTCCTTTCAAAATAACTCATAATACATTTTTGATTAAATACATCATCAATATCTTTTGTATATTTATAAAATTTAACTTTGTTTAAATCTCTACACCTTGTAATTGCAGTCCATATCCATTCTGGATAATTCTTTACCAAAAAATGGTTATAATCAAAAATTGTTATGGTATCATCAATGCTACTGCCTTGGGCAGAATGACAAGTTGAGCAATATGCAAATATAAAATTGCTTCTTATTTTAGCAACTTCTACGGATTGTAAAATTTCGGTTTTGATATTCTTTAATGTAAATATTCCATCGCTTCCGATATGAATTAAACACTGATGTTTTAGTTTTAGTATATTCCCTACATGTTAAAAATTCGCCTACTTCGTATTCATCTTTTCTATTTTCTAATTTTCTAATTTCATTTGAGACATTTTTACAAGTTGTATTTAAAAATGCTATGTTGTTGTTAGAATTGCTTATGTCAGTTGTATATTCGAAATATTTTTCAATAACTTTCATAATAGGTAATTTATTTTCAAAAATATCAAATTTAATATTTCTTAGTTTATCCTTATCTTCCTGTGTGTTAAGTCTCTTACATTCTTTTAACAAAATATTATATTCAAAAATGTTATCTATAATATTATCAGTATATAATTCATAGTCTCGAGTATTTGTTATCTCTTGAACTGGTTTTAATTGCTTGGTGTCTCCCGTTGCTATTATAATTTTGTTGTGTTTATTCTGCTCTACAAATTGTTTTATTCTCCAATATATATTTAAATTACTGAAATAAATTTCATCAAATACGATTACATCAAATTCTGTAAAATCAAATGGTTCTAATTTTGCATCGCCGTAGTTTATTCCAAAAAACTTATTTATAGTCATTGCTTCACCTTCGAATGCCTGTAATAATTTATTAGTAGGACAAATAAATATTACCTTATATTTTTTATCAACCATTTTTTGACATATATATGATTTTCCTGTGCCCGGTAGTTCGCCCCTGATCATAATAGGGTTATTCTGTTTAACAATCTCTATAATGTGATCAGTGTCGTATTCATCTTTAATATCATTAGTTTTACTTTCATGAACTGGTATTTTTATTAGATCATTCTTAACAACTTCATATTTTACAGTAGGAAGATTAATTTCATTGTCTCGCCCAGAAACTTTCCAACCTCCTATATCATTATGAAATTCTAATAATTGCTTTGCTTTCTCTACATTGTATGAATCAATTACAAAAGCATCGGTTTTCACACTATATACATTAATATCGTTGATTATTAATTTGTGAATGTCTTGGTTCATTTTAAAATTATGATGTTGCATGAGTAGTTCTTTAATATATCTATAGCCGTTTCTTAATACTGCTTTATCCCTTAATTTTAATATATAATATGATGATTTTATATTTCTTTCATCTAGTTCACGTGTATACTCTTCATACTCATCCTCGCGCTCTTCGTCTTCTGTACCTATACGTGATAACCTATGAATTTTGCCTTCTATCTGTGATAACTTATGAATTTTGCCTCCGTATTCTGTTTGATAATGGATTGCTTCATCAATACTCTTAAACAAAATGCTTTGATGCGCGGTAGCCTCTCCCTTCTCTAATAATCCAAAATTGACATTTGCTATTAATTTTTTACTTAGTATATCATCATCATCATCTTCATCTATAGTAGTTTTCCAAAGTTCATTAACCATATCCTTATAGTTTGTTTTATGAATAAACGAAGGTTGTTTATAATATAATACTTTAATATTATATTGATTAATAAACTTTTTTAAAAACTTACCATAAACTAAATTATATTTTTTATTAAACATTAAGCCCTCTTTATTCCCCAGTACCGTTTTTGTCATTATGAATTCAACTTCTTCTTTTGATTTAAATTTTAAACTTTCCTCCAAAAGATGCTTACGTTTAATACGTTCCATACTGTATTTATTTGGTATATTCGGATAGTTAACTTCAATATAATATAATGTTAGATCGTGGAGTTCATCAATATTATTTGCATCATTGTATTCTTTCCAATTGTCAAACTGATTAAAAACTGGTATTTCAGTAATATCTATGAAACCTTTTGTAAATGCCTTATTTACATCGATTTCAGTTATACACATTAAATTAAATTTATCCCATAATAATCCCGAAGGTGCTACAGTCCTTGTTTCGTTTAATATTTTTATATCAATGTCATTATAAAAAGATTTGTGAGATAAAATAAATAAAGATTTATTAAAATTAAACATTGCTTTATTCATATTGTTGTACATAGTTTCATTATCTGCTGCGATCCAACCATCGCTGGATGATTTAATTAAATTTTGAGTCTTTATGATATATGTTATCTTGTTAAATTTGACTCTAATTTCATCAATAATACCTGTGTATTTAATTCTGGGTTCATATCCAATATTTATCAACTGGAAAAATATTTCTGCCAAATTATTATCTTCGGGTACTAAATATACTTCCCTTGTTTTATCATCAGTTTTAATTTTAAGTATATCATCTATACATTTAATCATTTTGTATTGCGGTGGTTCCTCTCTTTCATTTATATAATAATCAGTGTGTGCCTTTATAGTGGGTAGTTTTGATATTACTTGTTTTTGTTGTATTTTGCTTAAATCGTGGTTTAATGTATAAATATGGTGTTTTTTCACCATAGC